TTGTTATTATTATCTCCAATGTTTGTTTGGTTTAACATGGCATCATAGGCATCATCACCCTGCAGGATCAAACAATAGTTACTAAAAATTGAATAAGAAGAAAATTTACAAATACAAATGTGGCAAACAAAATTTACTAAAATTAAAATCATTTGGCTTTCAAGATGCAAATCCAACTAAAGTAAAAGGCTAAATGCTGGAAAACGCAATCAAAACTGTAAAACTTACCTGTTTCAGAACATGGTATTCTGCCTTTATATCATCAGGAAGCCACTGATCCAGAACCACTGAATTCTTCTTGATAACTGAGACAACTCTTCCGCCCTTACTGTCATCATCTCCCACAGTCTTGACCTCGTTCAAATCCCCATCATCAGACTCGTTACTTCTCTTCCTGCCAGTATCAGCATCAGAAGCATCATCAGCACCATTCACATTATCGCCCACAGGTTTCTGGTTTTCCTTAAGCACAGCCTCCTCAAGCCTCCGGACCTGTCAATAATCCAAAATCAAAATCGCAATCAGTTGTATGGATGCAGTGAATGAGTACATAATAAGACACAGAGAAAGATGAGGAGACCAGAAGAGGAATGGTTCCGGCGGTGTCAAGCCCGCGCTTGGCGAGTTCGGCGCGTAGCTCCGCCACTTTGAGCTTGTTCTCCATCTTTCTTCCCGGAAAACTTAGTTACAGCTTTTGGGTGCGTCTGCGACCGCGGATGGCAGCCTTTTTTTATACAGTGTTTTTAAATATTTTAAATGTGTTTGTGAAAACGGTAATTCAGGCTTGCCGGCCAAAAACGTCAGGACAACTTTAAAAACGTCGTCGTTTTGTTAAGAAAGAACCGCCGAATATCACGTTCAAGCCTCGCTCTTCCACTTGATGACTGATATTCTCTTCTTCCTGTTGTGTAGCCAACAGCTATTTCTCTCGACTTTGTTTGGTGCAAGAAAAGACCTAGGACTGAGTATATTCCGAGTTAGTTTAATTTTTGATAAATTTTTAGCACCATAAGTAGAAAACAATGTGGTTTATGTTTGGTATGTTCTAGTGGTTCTAATTGCATTTAATAGCTCTTTATCTAGTATTATTTTAATTTAAATTTAATAAATTTTAACAAAAACTGCAATAAGAAATTTGAAAGCTCGATTTATAGTTAGGTTATGTCTGCTTGAGCTTTATTATAAATATGCTTTTAATTCCCTTGTTTTACACATTTTTACTTACAAAATTCCTTCTGTTAAGCACTTCAAAATGGCCCTGGGACAATTTTAAAACTAGTCTTATGGATACCGTGGATAGCTGAAATTCACTTGAACCAAGTAGCGCATTCGGATTTGTTCCACGTTGTAAACTATGTACTCGTTGTAGAGTAAAGTACCCTGCAAAAAATAGTAGAACGCCCATAAAAAAGACTTAATTTCTAATAGATCAATTATTCAAGTCTCCAGTAATAGAAAGTACTAAGAATATAATTTTACTTGGCGTTGTTGCTCCTTTGACTTTCCTAGGGGAACTATAACACCATCGTCAAGAGTTTTGGCTTCTGAGGGATCAGGTTCAGTTGCACCGACGCCTTTAGTGCTGCAATTTTAGAGTTTATACCAAATTAAGTTCACATCAATAAGCAAGCATGTTTCAGAAAAGAAGATATACCTATATGTTAAGTAGGTCCGTAGAATTATCTAAACAACATATTTAAATGCATTTTATACTTTATAGGAAACTGCTTGAATTAAGGCCTACGCTTTTAAAACATAGAAGGTACCATCATGAGATACCAGTCTGTTAGTTTTAAATAAAACAAACCTCAGCTTGCCATCTGGTAGCTTGTTAGCATCACTTTTAGCTTGAAGAAGCT